ATCGTACGAAAGCCGATATTGAAAAACAAGAAAAAGAGAAGAAAAGTGAACAGTCAGAAACAGCAATGAAACGAGCACAGAGTGATAAGGTTGCTCATAGTCTGTATTATCAAGATTCTGATTTTGCAAAATTGAACACAATAGCAAATTGAAACAAATAGCCGAGAAAAAAGGTGTAAAACCAACACAAATTGCATTAGCATGGCTTTTGGCTAAAAGGGGTGTCAATGCACCGATAATACGCGCCTCGAAAATGTATCAACTCGAAGAAGCTGTTGAAGCAACAAAAATATCATTGAATGCTGAGGAAATTAACACACTTGAAGAATTGTATACGCCTCATCAAATTTTGGGGCATTTTTAATTCAAAACGCAAAATGTTATTTTACATTTTTCAATCTAGTTTTTCTCCATAGCTGTTTTTATATTAATTTAGTAGATCACCATTACATCTTATAGTCTGATTTATCCAATAGTTCCAGTTAAAAAGTAATAATTATTTGCCAAAAAGACAGAAAAAGACGTAAAGGAGAAGAGTATTTAGTCTAAGAGAGTAAAACTGTAAATCATTAAGTAAAAGACAAGTCAAAATAGCTCACAATTGTAAAAGACAAATGAGCGAAGGGTACATTATCTTTTTAAACACATGTAAAAATGGAAATTGTCATTCTTCAAGTATGCTTCTTTTGTATGCCGATCATAATTTTGTCAATATAGGAACATATATAACTTGAAACTAGAATTTATACATTTTGCTTGTCATCAAAAAAAGAAAGTTGAATATATGAAATAGGTCAAGCGAATGCTTTTTCTATACTTTCTGATCGCTTTATTCGCTTTTGTTTCAGTTTGAGTTGTTTGTTTGAGTTCGCCAGCGCATTTATAAGTTCGTAAAGGCAAGTGACGCGTGCAGACGAGCGTTACCTTGTCAAATAAAAGATCTACATCAATATATTAATATATTTTGAGATGGTAAAGGCAAACTCCAATGCAAATAACTTTTTCATTATCTTCACAGTCGACGAGACAAATAGTCGTTGCAGTAATTAACGAGACTGAAAGCAAGGCAAGAACAGCTACAATATAATAGAAGCCTCTTGTATATGGTTTTCTTCTGGGAGTTCCGCAAATGTTTGACCAATAACTGATATCTTTGTGCAATAACTTAGTTCTTCCACTTATCTAATTCATACCGCATTTATCGTTTTGTTATTACTTTATTACTGTAACAATTTATTACTCGTTATTACTTATTGCTAACAGTCCGGTCTCATAGCCCGAACGGGATATATATCCCGTTCGGGATATAAAAATATATCCTGATCGGGCTATGATATCCTGATCAGGATATATATCCCGTTCGGGCTATAATATATATCCTCTTCGGGATATAGCCCGATCAGGATATATTTTTATATCCGGAACGGGATATGGTATACTGAAGGCACATCAAGACACGGTGTTTTTTGTTTTTGGATGTGGGAGTGGGAGTTCATCTTTGAAGAAAACTAGGTTTATCCATAGCAAGGTTACAGAGCATTTTCACTT